ATTTTCTTTATAAAGGAACATAAAACATAGTATTTATATTAAATATTAGGTAGTATTTACTTGAAATAAACAATGAAAGTATATTTGGACACACTGAGAACATAATATGTTAATGAAAAAATGTAATTTTTAAGAATTTACCAGTTTATTGAGACTATTTCCCCATCTGGGGCATGAAGGGAACACCTAACAGCTCTGTAGGGAGCTGATGACAGCACAGCTTGCCAGCTATAAGAATCTATTTTTGCAATTTTGGGGGCCCTTTAGTATCTGTTTGTCTTTCCTACATTATGTACTAAACCAATACTAAATATATCTTGAGTGTAGCTTACATCTAAATCATATCAATGAAAAAGTTGAACATTTCACAAATAACAAATGGTTTCTCTAGAATAGGGCTAATATCAGTTGGAGTCAATGTGATCCACTTTATATTATCAAAAGTCCTAATTATGAATTCATGGTTGAGTCTTATATACAAATGCTACACTATATAAATGCAGCCCCAAGTCCAAGCTCTAGGACTTTTGTTAAAATAAAGACCATAAACCATACATTTAGCCACTTGGGATGAATCATGAATGGCTCGGGGTCATCTTGGATGCATGTCCACACGCTCTTGCTGTTCAACTAATGTGAAAACACAATATTGACCTCACAATACTCATGAAGCAATTTCTGAAGCTTGGTTGTAGAGTATTTTAGGCTCTATTATCCAACTGACATCTTCTCATTCATTTTACTTCTTGTCAGAGGGCTGGGCAGGGTTCTCCAACTCTATCCAAGGTACTCTTGATACATTTCAATTCACAGATAAAATAAGCCAAAGTAAATTATGTTCACTACCATTGCCAAATTACAAAGTCCTTTCAAGTGTTTAAATTTCATTTCATTAGAGTCAAAGGAGTTAATGGTGAGACAGAACTTAGACCACATTTGGCCAAAATAGGAAGGGAACTGTGGAGGGAAAAAGCAAGACAACCAAGAAATCTAGAAGAAAACAGGAACTTGATGTTGGAGTGTGAGAGTATCACTTCGCAAGCAGGGAAGAAAGTCATTTAATATTAATGGAAAAATACAATAAAGATTAAATAGAAAAAGTAACTTTCATCTTAAAAATAATATTAATGATGGAACAGAGTGACTAAAATGTGGCATAGAGCTGAAAAAATATTTTTATTGTAATAAGTCTGTATAATCTAGGTGATGCAGAGTTGAATATACACAATGAAATTTCTTTCTATGAGCTAAAAGGAAGTGGAAGAAAAAGCAGTGGCAATGTTTTGTATGTTTTTTAAAAAAAAATTTATTGCCTTTTATGTCCATTTTGTTCTTCTCAAAACAATCTCTTCTTTAGGCAAAAAAATATATAGTTTGTCACAGGCATACTTATATGCTTCTAGAATTGGCACCATGTCTGTGAAATATAAAAGCTTCAACTAATGCTCCAAATGGACAGTTACAAGTCTGGCACTACTGTTTCTTGTATTTGGTTAACATCAACCGAACTTCCAGCCTCACAACAGTGATGTACAATGGAAGCCCCGCCACACTGTTAGCTCTGAAGTGAGTACTCTATCCTTAAAACCAGAGTTGCAAAAGTTCCACTGCATTTCTCTTTTAAAGGTTTGCATCACTGATTTGCATCCAAAAGATAACATTTTACAATCTTGAATACTCTCCAACTTTTGGGCCTCTGTTTTTGTTCAGACCACATCTTAATGACTCTATAAAATTATTTATTTTATTAAAGTAATAATTGTGATTGTTCATATTAAAATGGGATTTTGGAACTTATTTCCATAGGAGGCGGAAAATCTCATAATTATGTTACAAAGATTTGAAAAGCAAATATTCTCAAGCTGGCTATTGGTGATAGTTTTCATTTACTTTTATTTCTAGTCAGTGGCATTTCTTTTAGATTTCATGAAATACAAAAACACACTTCAAACTTGCAGTAGAAATTAACTCGGTATTTTTAACAAACATTCTAACAAGGTTATTAGGTTACATTTATTAATTACTTGCTATGTTTGAGCTCCTGATACCAATTTCTAAGATTAGTATAATTTCAGAAACTTGGCTAGAGTTTTTTAAGGTATATTTTACTTGTTTCAAATTTTCAGCTTCAGATTGCACCCCAAATTTAAAGAAGTGACACATATTTTTCTAACACTGTTATTCTACATCCTCCATCAAATATATGTAATCAGTTTCTTTAAATCTGTCAATTTGAATGGCACAAATATTTTAAAGTGCATTAATTTTAAGGCTATATTACTAACAGATATTAGCACAAAAATAAAGCTGACCACAGGAAAAATTACTTTCAATAGTTGGGATAGATTTCAGCCACAAATAGGAAAGGATAAACAAACAAATACAATGGGAAGGCTCACATTAAGGCATATGTGCAACTTATAAAATTAAAATCTAAATGGCTTTTGGTATAAATTAAAAAAAAAATTTTTTTGAAACATTTACAGAAGTATACCAATTAGTATCATTTAGGCCACTAACTTAAAAAAAACAATGATGAATTTAACAGGCAGGCAGCACAAAAGTCTAATGTTAACAACATTGAAAGGAGGGAGTTGGACGGATGTCTTAGCAGATGGACTCCAAAGTGACAAAGGTCAGGAAGGAAGGCTGATGCGCCTGCCGCATGTGCCACAGTGAGGGTCCATCCCCTCCTGTCCCTCCTGCTTTTTAGTGAACAGGAGCTAGAGTGGCAGAGCAGTAGAGATAAATGAGATTGGGGAGTGATACCAAGGACTGGAAGAGGTGACAGAGGTTGGAGGATATTTTAGAGGAGCTGAGGGCCATATTATTTGGGTGGTAGGATTGACAGATAAAGGCTCAGCTGGGGCCCTGGGACCCCGTAGATGGTGGGTGTTAGGACAGGGAATCCCCTGACAGGCACCACGGACTCCTGTTACCACTGCCAAGAAGGTACAATGAAAGAGATCAGGTTGTAACTTGACTGGTATTTAATTATCTTTGATTGTTTTCCTGTCTCTTTTACTTCCAGGATACAATAGCACCTATCAGAAAATCAAGGTGGTGGCAACAGGATATTGTTTGTACCAAAAGGTCTGACCCCTCTCGTAAACTCCACATGTAGGGGTTCTTAGGGAATGGCTGGGATTCATTGTAAGAGGAATGTTTCATGTTATTCCACAATTTTTAACATCCCAACAAACCACCAAACCTTACATACAATCTATCTATTTTTCTATGGATAATTGGTTGTTCATAATTGGCAACATACTGCTCCCTACTTTTCACAATGGTATAAGTAAGCTCCTTTGTGCAGCAACATGCATGAACATGGATAGTGTTTACCAAAAAATGTGACAAACATGATTGATTCAGTTATTTCATTTAAATCCCTCAAGTTTACAACTAGGTCATCCAAATATCAGTGCATCTTTTTTGGATATCTGATAGATGTTTCATTATACTTTATTTTTATTGGAATAAGATTAATTTCCTTTTTTATGTTTTGGCAAGATATTTATTTGGCTATTAAGCAAGAGTTAAGTTATCCTGCAAAAATGTTTTTTATTTAAAAACTATGCACTTCTATATAATCTTTTTTCTCTCCAAGAAAAAGATATCAAATATACTAATTACCTCTATGCCCTCATTCACTGAAGATGCATTAAAATTTTATTACAAATATCTTATTAAATCCAAATTTAAAAATCATGGGAATGTCAACACAAAGTGACAATATATGTAAAGGCTCTTCACTGATGCTTTATATTTGAGAAGTGAAAACAATCTTGTCCATTCAATAGGGGACTTATTAAATAAATTAAAGGATAACCCCACAGTGTAATATGTAGTAATTTACAAAAAAAAAAGAGGCAAATCTATTTAAACTTTTATGGAAAGGTATCTGCCAATATATAATAAAACAAAAAATAGTCACAGGACAGTAAGAATGTTATTATTCCATTTGTAGAAAACTAATATACACACAGACATGTGTACACAGAGACATTTATTTATATATTTGTAGAAAGTGTCTGGAAGGACACATACCAAATTATTAACAGTGGCTACCCCTAGAAAATAAGGGGTCAGTTAAACAGATAAATTTATGTTTTAGAATTCTATATGGTTTTGCTTTTTTAAAAAAGATACAGGGGTGGGAAAAAGTAGGTTTACAGTTACGGTATGCAAAACAGTTTATTCTTGTATTATTATTTATTAATTATTGTATTGTTTTGCATATGAAAAACTGTAGACCTCCTTTTGCCTACCTCTGTGTACTAAATTTACAATAACATTAAATGACAAGCTTTGGCTAAAAAGATATTTATTTTACTCCTATGTTTCTTTCTCTAAAGTAGTTTTATAGAATTCACCCCAAAAGTTATACATACATTAATTTTTGAAAAGTCTACGCTATAGAAAAAGGAATATCCTGTGCAACACAGTGCATGCTTGCTCAAGCACTGATGAAACAGCCTTCACTGAACAGACACCACTTTGTAATAGGAAAACTGGAACGTTTCCAAATAATATAAAAATATTTCCCAAAGATAAGTTATTTAAAGAAAGAAATAAAAATCCCTGAGTAGGCCAAAAACAACAGATACAATGACATAAGAAAATAGATTATCTAAGACCAGAAAGCATATTATTTAGCTAGTTGGTGTATATGTATGAGGCATATGTATTCATATGCATCTATGGAAATATTATACATACATACATATATATCATACATAAACATATTCACTAGATTTAGAATTATCATGCTCACATAATGTCAAACTAACACCTAAGTCTGGGAAAGGCAAATTTGCAAACATTAAGCACTTTATGACACAATTATGTGGATTCAGGATGGAAATTCTCATTCTCTTGGTTCTAATACTCGAGCACGTAGAATAGGCTCAATAAGTATTTGTCAAATTAATGGATGAATGAATGGAAATATATTTTGTAAAGCTAAAGCATATCACTTTTTCTTGTATCATGTTATGCTTCAGTAATAAGTCATTAGAGAACCAAAAATGATACATCCTCTAACTGGAAATAGTCTAGTCCAGAAACTATAGTATAGCAATTTTGAGTGTCATTCAGAAAGAATGGAAATGTGCTGGCTTGTTATCCATACAAGTAAATGTCATTATCATGGGCTTCTTAGGTCAAATAAAAATCAGATGTTCTTAAACCATGGAGACTAACAAGACAACCTATCCATGTTAATGCATGTTTTGTCACATAACCTATTTCAGTTCACACAGGTTGCTGTTAAATTAATGCTACATCTATGCAGATAGGTAATTTAAGGATTGGAAACAAGTGAAAACTTTAGGCATCTTAGGTGTGTTTACTTCCTTTCTGATGACGAACTTTTGTGATGAAAACAAAGGAATAACATAATTTAGTTACTTGTCCCTTTCTTATTTTTAAAGACATCTCAGCTTGGAAGAACTTCCAGAAAATATTTCCTTCATTTTTATGATTTCCTTCTCCAAAAGCAGTTTATATTTTAAATAGACCCCTAAACACAAAAGTATTGTTTTCAAATTACCCCACCAGAAGAAGGGACCAATACATTATGCATAAGAGCAGTAAACATAAAAATCCTTCAAAACTAGTATTTGTTTTCATGAAAAACTTGGGGACAAATTAAAAAGAGAGAAATAAAGAGGTAAGAAAGAGGGCGGGGTAGTAAATAATACTATATCTTTACCCAAAGCAAAACTATCTGTATTTACAAGTTGTTTAAAAATTTAGCAGAATAAAGATTATTTAAAGGCTTAAGTGGTTCTCTCTACAGCAAACTTGCTATTTAAGTTAACTAATTTTGCCTAAAGGATTTATTCATATAGTGAAGCATGTATGCCAAAATAGAAGTCTGAAAAGGCTGAATGTTGAGGTCTTAAAAATTTCCAAAAAAAAAAAAAAAATCAATGAGTTTTGTCAGTTTTTAAAGTTTGATAATCCTTGGGGATGATAAGGCACACATTTCTGTGTGTGTGTGTATGTGTGTGACAAAGAGAAACCAAGAAATAGAAAGGGTCAACATCAAAATAGCCTGTTGTCTATATTGACTTTAATTCAGCATATTCCCAAATTATGCCCACAATGGAACCATCATCTTTAAATATATCTACGAAAATGTGGAAAAATAGTATAGAGCATTGGAACTTGACAAGTACAAAGTTACTGGGCTGAGTTTTAATACAGATACTTATACACACACATTCATACCTCTACACATGTATACTTCAGTAACTCATGATTCTTTTCATTAATTTAGTTTCATTCTCTTTAGAGCACTGAGATTTTTGACAATTATGCCATCTGAAGGATGAAGGAATTACACTGCTTGGGCCACAGATGAAAACAAGGGCACATGGTGAGCCTTTATCTTCTGAAGAGTGGACTTGCTTGTTGGTACAAGTGGGAATTCAGCTGTTTACACCAAGTCTAATAGGATGGGCTGGAGGAAGGTTCAGGTATGAAGACAGTCCAAGCAATTCTCAGGAGAGGCATGCTCAGACAATTCTGAGGATAACTGGTTCTTATTTAAAATAATTTCTTCCAAGACCCATTAAGAAGGTCAGAATGATATAGATGTTTATAGTGTATGGAAGTAATCATTGTTTAAAAGCAGCAATCAGTATAAGGAGAGGACAGGATACCATGTTGGGAGTGTATCGGAGCTCGCGGCACTGTGGCCTGCGGAGAATCACGGGGACTTGAGACGGCAGGAGGCTCCTCTCCGTGTGATTCAGGACGCGACTCTCAGGTGCGTGTGCACTTCGGTATAGCTCCTACCCAGACCAGCTTAGTTAGATGAAATCATCTGCACTTCACCAGTGCATACCTGTCCGTGATCGTTTTCTCTGTTTTTTACAAAGGCAATAGATAGGAAATACAAATAAACCTAGGGGTAAAAAAAAAGAAGATTAAGCTCATCAGGAGGAGAGGCATTTAGGTTTATATACTTGAAAATTTTCTATTTTGCAAATGATTGACAAATAAACATTATTTAGCAATACATGAAAATGAAAAGAGGGAAGACCCCTATGCTACAAAATGTGTTTACTTCTACAAGATTTCATTTTTTATTATTTTTCTTTAGCTCTTTCCCTGCTTTAACAATCTCAGTGATACCAGTTTGAATATGAAATGTTTTATATCGAAACATCAAACCTTAGGTTTAAGCCATCTTCATTAATTCTGGTTACACCATTTACGCACTATGATATTCACACTTCATTTTCAGGCAGAATAACATACGGCTTAACAACATGGGCCGTGGAGCCAAATGTCAGGTCTCATTCCCAGCTCTACCACTTATGATTGGCCTAGGGAGCCTTAATTTCCTCAACAGTAAATTGCAGACAATGATAGTATCTACTATATAAAGCCCCACTCATTGTAATAATTTAAATGTCAGCTACTTTATAATTGTGTCTTACACCTGCAAATTACTTGCTAAATGAAACTTTACAGATGAAAAGTTATTTTATTTAGAAGAAAATTCCATCCATTAATTGAACCAATCATCAGTGATGACTTTATCTATAGCATTTGATATAGTATTCTCTAAGGCAATGGTTCTCCATGTGTGGTCTCTAGACCAGCAGCATCAGCATCACCTGAGAAGTTTTTAGAACCAGGAAACCATGTACCTGCCCCAACACTGAACAAAAAACTGTGGGGAAGGACCAGCAGCTTGTGCTTTAAGAGTCCTCCAGGTAAAAGCATGCTAGAGTCTGAGAAACCACTGTTTTAAAATACGTATTTGAATATATTTGCATGAATAAACTATACAAATCAATGATACACTTTCTATTTGTCAGTGCTAAAGTATACATTGGGTATATGTTCTTATCACATCAAAGGTATGTTTTTCCATCCAGGGCAGCCTTTCACTAGAACAAACCAAATACTCAAGCGTGTACCAGAGCTTCCTTTCTTTGGTGCTCCAACCTGAACTGAGAGTTGAAAATCTGGTTCTAGCCCACTGGGCTCTTTCACTAAAATACTAGTTGCATTCATATTGGTGTTAAAAGGGGGTTATTAGCGCATCATAGGACACATGTGTTCAAAGTGTTCATAGACTGAACAAGTGTCAAATACATCTTACATGAAACCGAGCCTCTGAATCTGTAAACCATTCACTGACTGCCTATCTAAAGCAAACATTGAACAGATACCATGTCCACTTAATAACAGACTCACAGTATGACATTTACACTCATACTCTCTCTGTGGCACTCAGAGAATTCTCAGCTCAGGTATGTTAAGTGTTTCTTACCGATTACAACCGCTATGGCCCCTAGTGCTAATCCCAGGACCAGGATTAGAGGTGCAACAAATAATTTTCCAGCTGGAAAACAAAAGGCAAAATCAGCAATGTTTTAATACTGCAGAGTGTATGTTATTTTTTAAAAAAGGAGTGATTATAATTAAGGCAAAATTTTTCTAAGGAAATGTATCAGGTGTATCACAAATATTCATATGTAGGTTTACTAACTTCACTTAAGTCCTGGGCACATTAGTCAAACATTTTATAAATCACTTATCCTTTATAAGATGAAAAAAAAAGAATTCCAAAGGTACTGGCTCACTTTACCAAGACCATTCATCTTTGTGCTTTTCCTTTAGATCTTGTCCGCTTTCAACTTTCAAGATTCCGAAAGATTAAGAGAGGAGTGGCACATTCTGAGCTGTGTCTCAAAAACATAATTGGCTCGCAAAATATAAAGCTAGTAGGTGCTGTGGAGGGCTTCAGCCCAAGCCCACATCTGAAAAAGTGATTTATTTACTTCTTGAATCCAAAGGAAACTAATAATATGAACACTTAATAACCACAAGTGAGATGTTCTCAGCACTAGAGTTAGAGAAATTTACTAATTAACATACACTATATTGAAAGTTACTGAGTGAATCATTTTAACAAATTTAAAAAAGATGCACTCTATAATACGTGCTAAGGCTAAATGCTGCTAAGGAAGCCACATGGCATCAGCCAGCCTTTTTTTCCCCCTAAGTTACTAATGGAGCACTGATTATAATAAACTCTAGTTACAGGCAAACATAGCAGAGTTTACAACTGGAACCCCACTAACTTTGAAAGGCGCTAGCGCACACACACTAAAAGCCTAATAGTTAATATCTTGTCGTTATGTGGTCATCCTGATCTTGAGGCACGTGACACGGCAGTGTAGCCTCCGAGCCCCAGCACAAGAAGAGGTGAGGAAGGGACGGAGGGACTTTGCAGTAGAATCACATAGCTGTTTAAGGAGAAACCGGCAACACCATTCTACAAGTGAAAGACAGTAATTTAGAATAACCAATTATATATAAAAAATAAAAACATAATGGAGCCAGACAAAAATGTCAATATTTTTTATTGAGAAATGGTCTTTGGAACCCATTGGAACCAGGATCTAGCTGATAGAAAAAATAGTTTTTAACATCTAATTTAGAAAGATTGCCATTCAATCGACACAATGTCTAACCTTGAGTTTTACTTATATTTTTTACCAATGACAGAATCCAATTAAGCAATACTAAATCTCGTTGAACAGTTATATCTTGTACATGATAAAAGTTATGCTTAACTGTTCAGAATATATTGGCTTGCATATTTTAAAAAATGTTTCTTTTTCCACACATGTAGCTCAGTAAGTTCATTCATATTTCCTTTTAAAATAATTACTAAAATTTTTATAATAGTAATGAAATATGACTGCAAAATAACTTATTTTTATTTTTAAAATTACTGAACTCTAAGACCCAGCTATGTGCTTCTTTCTCTGGGAAGTAATAAACTTATTCCAGTCATGAAATCAAAGTTAATATATGTTTTAGTTACTTTTGTTTTATTTTTTTATGTTTTATGTTTAAAACATATATGTTTATATGTTTTAGTTTTTTAAAGACAGTTTAATCCCTAAATTGTCTTTAGGGATTAAGCATACACTCTTTTATTCCTAGATCATCAATAATTCTTTTATTTTTTATTTTTAAAATAAACTATTGTTGGCCTATCTAAAAAAAACATTTAAAATGTTCTCCATATTACTATCATTTTTCTTTGCAAAAGAATTGCACAACATTTCCAATTCATTCAGTAGAGTATGAAAATCCAGCACTGAATATTAACTTGACAAAATATTTGCTGATCAATTGTCCAAATATGCATTTTATTTTAAATTACATGTCGCTACTACTAACAGTGAATATTTTTAAACATGTTTATCGGTTATTTATATTTCTTTAATTTTAGTTCCAGATTTTCTTTAAAAGAAGGATATATATATAAAGTATAAAGTATAAAGTATAAGGTACTTTATATATATATACTTTTTTATATGTAGATATAAAAAAGTATATATATACTTTTGATATATATACTAAAAGTATATATATACTTTTAATATATATACTAAAAGTGTGTGTGTATATAGATACTTTTAATATATATATAATTGGAGGGGGTTCTATTGTTTTTTGTTTATATAAATGATTTGCAATCTAGAAATCAATAAAAGATTTATATTTTCTTTTCCATTATATACTTTAATTTAATGCTTTGAATATTTGCATGAATCAGATGAGAAGGAAGCATTTTTCCTTGGTCACTTTTATTCCCCAGACCATTCATTGAATAATCAGCCTACTTTTTACCAGGGAGATGCTCCCATGTCAGAGGCTGCCAATCATTCTCCAATTTACGGTCTTCCTTTTTCTCTAGGAGCGGAACCTCTGATCTGCAGCTGGCACGAGGCCACATGGAGTGTAGACCATGGTTCCCACCCCCCAGCTGTGAGAGAAGAGCAGGCCCCTTCTCTGCCTCTGTCCAAGAACATCTGGAGGCAGTGGTCCCAAACTGAGGGAGCAAACTGAGTTACATCACGCAAAGAGAAAGGGTGAGAAGGCTTTGCTATGTTCAATCCATCTTCCCTCTTATATGGCAGGAAAATGGTAGGGTTGTGACTTACAGTGTAACCCCTTTCCTTGCCTTTTGTGCAGACAGGAGAGGTGGGCACCACTGCATGGGGAGTTAGGGTCCAATAGGAGTTAAGAAGCAGCTGTGCTGGGGGTGGGAAAATATGTGTGGGAGGGAGAGCTTATCTTAATGCCAGCTGCTCCCTACTTTGTCAGCTTTGTTCCGATACATGTGTGCACACACAGAATACAAAATAAGCCCAAAGAAAACCATTTACAGAAAGTCGACCATAACAATTTTTAAATAAAAACAGAAAAAAATGGTACAGAGTAAATATTTCCCTGCTGACAGTGTATATGGGCTGTCCATTCTACAGGTTGTTAAGCAGCTCAACTCTTGTATGACCTGAGAAAAGGATTCTTGTGAATGGAAGAAACCATCTTGCCACAAAATGGCATTGAAGTAGGAAAGAAAAGAACTAGCAATGCAGAAAATTGAGGATTTTATTAGGTTGTTCTCTGTATGTATAAGCCTTACAAATAGGTTACAACTCAACACTTAAATTTGCAATTAGTTATGATATTACTGTTATAAATAGGGGTTAGAGCCCCTGGCTATTCCTCCCAAGTCTACCTAACTAATAAATAAATATTGGTTATATAATTATAGTATATACCATTATAAGCAAATAAACACAATCATTGAAAATTATTAAAACCAATCTTGCCTATATTGAATTGTGCTGGCTATGGAAAATTATGTTTAAATTTCAGTAAGGACATTTTTATAGAAATCAGACAAGATTTTGGAAAATGGTGGCCCTGGTTTCCATAATAAGTTAAAGTGAATTTTAAAATGCATGTACTCTCTTCTACCTGATAGAAATATATCATCAGCTCAGCTTTGGTCTGATTAACCACCATACATATGATTCTGGAGAGGGGAGTGGTTCACAATAGTAGTGATGTAGGACTAAAGAGAGATGTAAAGAGATTTTCATGAAAGAACTAAGCAAAGGGAGGCAGAAACGGGGAAATGTGGAAGATGTTAAGAAGTATTGCACATAAATAGGAAAGACTCTCATAGAAAGACATACTAGAGTTTTTTGTGATGGAAACAGAGGAAGAAATCCCACGGTGGGCCCATTCCAGAGAGGTATGGTGCTAGGGAAAAAAACAGCTGTCGGGTCTGAAGAACATGGCCTTCCACAAAGGCAGTGGTACTAGGCCAGAGCAGGGATCTCTGTTTGTATTTGCATATTTGGGTGTGATATTGTGTGTTGCTGGGGATGAAGAGGGAGGAAAAAAGTTCAATCCAGAAAAATCTGCGCTTGGATATCTCAATTTGGGTTTGTATGCAATAAGGGCATTTGATATTCATTACATTAACTGTTAACTATTAATATTAACTATTAATACAATAGAAAATATAGACAATGACTTATCTACTATACAGATACAATGGGACTCCATTACAGGGCTCTTAAATGTATGGACTTTTTTTTTTTATTGTATTGTACATCCTCCATGAATGAAGAGAGCGTCTATGCGTAAGATTTGCTGTTAGGTATTGTCAATATAACAATAAATGGGATATTATTTCTCTCAACAAATACCTTAAAATAGAGTTTCAGAAATGTAAAAGACTAATGACTTCACATTTCTGCAGTGTAATTTATAATTTGGTTTTTGAAGAAAATCTGCTTGCTCATATAAGTAAAGCTCTGCTAACAAACTTAAGTTTTTAATTTTCAACTCAAAGAGAGAGAGAATATCTTCCCCCTGTTTGGGGGGAAAGGTCCCATTAGAATACCCAGCACATGGTCAGCATTATCACGGCTATTGCAGTTCTAGGTGCTAGCATCCCTGCTTACTTCTCAGGGAAGATTCCTCCAAGTCATGTTGGATACTCACCACAGACAGACCCTCTCACTAATCTCCTTAGGTGAGGTCTCTCTGGGAGGTAGCGATATTTGCATCCAAATATACTGAGGTTTGATGTGTGGTCTCCAAAGAAACGGAGCTGGCGGTATCTCTCTCCACATCGATAACAAAAATTAGTGTTACACTGTGAACAGGTCATATGATCACATCCTTCAGTTCTCTGGATGTGGATCTATATCAGCAAAAAAGGGAAAGGGAAGGAAAGGCTATTAAAAATTTTTAACAACTAAATCTGGCAAATGTTACAAAACAACACAAATTTCTCCAATATAAAAGCCTTACATAGCATTCCTGAAGCTGTCAATTTGCTTGTAATCAATCATGTTCTCCAAGATCATTATTTGTGTCAAATACTTCATGTGTGCAAAGCTCAATAACATTTCAGGTATTCACGCTGTTGGCTGATTATGACTAATACATAAACTAACACATTCCAAAGAAAACTCACATATCTTTCTAGACACATACCTGATTCGATGGTTAGGAGGCATTTTAAAATGCTGAGAAAGTGGATTTTGTTTATGCTATGATCTGCAAGAACAAGGTGACTTAGGGAGTAAGAGGTGATAAAGAGTTTTCCTTAAAAGCAAGGATGATGTAAAAACTTTTTGTGAACAAACATCAAGGAAGAGAAAGCTCCTTTTGTGGAAGGAAATGGTAGCAGCTCTAAGTGTACTACTCACAATACCATTTTAGTTTTTCCCTCTATCATTTGCAAATACCTTTGTAGAACTGTGTATAATTCTATCTGTGCAACTGAGTACCTTCCTCAATTGCTGCCATCAAGTTACACATAAATACAATTTCATCCTTAATGTAACAAGGATTTTATTCTTGAATAGTCCACCATTTACCCAGTGTGGTAGTCACTGTCTCAACCAGTGGGGCCATGTCATAACCAAGATTTTACTTGGAGATATAATTAGATGTTTGATACAGAATCCTCATGGACACTCATAAATTGAGCCACCTTTCACACCAGTATGAGGACGGTTAGTTTCTTAGGTGACCGTTCATGAAAAAGAACTAAATATTTCATGAAAAAAGGTGTGGTAACACTGTCCAACAATCATGTGACTGAAACAGAACCAACAAAATACAGACTTCCCATTTCATTACAGAGTGGGCACGTATTCAAGTCACATCTCACTTATTCTTACCATACATATATTAAAAAAAAACTTTTTAAGTTGACTTTACAGAGAAGAGAGAGAGAGAAAGAGAGAGAGAGAGAGAGAGAGAGAGAGAGATCTTGATTTGTTATTCCACGTGTTTTATGCATTCACTGGTTGCTTCTTGTATGTGCCCTGACTGGGGATTGAACCTGCAACCTTGGCGTACTGGGACAAAGCTCTGACCAACTGACTTATCCTGCCAGAGCTGCCACCTACCTACCTACCTATAGTTCTTTGTTAGAGAATGCATTAAAAATGTTCCCATTACCATTTTGACTACTGAGAGTTTCTACCCATGACTGTGCTTTGGGACTAGTATTCAGTTAATATTTTAATGCAGAGAACTTCACAATTAACATGTGAATTAATCCCTCCTGTGACTGTTTATCTCTTTCCCCTGGATACGCAGTATAGCTCCCTAAGCTTCTGTAGCAATGCAGTTATAATTATACTTCTCAAAAACTGGACAATGATTATGGAAATGGGATAAAATCATCCAGGAAAAAAAGAACTTTAATGTAAAAAGAGAAATTAAAAGGTTGAGAGATAAAGAAAATTATTCATTTCAAAATATAACATTTTCAGTGGTTTTACAAATAAATACTTTAAAGTTGTTAATTCCAAATCGCATGTAGTATTTCAGTCTTAGTGATTAAATAACTAAAATTGTGAACTTCAATGTAAAGAAACAGTACAAATTTTAAAAGGACTTCTGAGGCTGCTTTTAAAATAACACAAGATATTAACCATAGTAATGGCGAATGTTTCACTTGAGCAGTATATGTATTTTTCTGTGTGTCTGTCTACCTACCTACCTACCTACCTACCTACCTACCTACCTACATACCTGCCTACCTATTTATCTACCTAACTGGAGGGCTTCTAGGTGATAGTGACAATATTGGAGAAATATAACTAAGCAGAGGGCACCACATTACAGGCAGCACATGGTAAGCTGATGAACCAAGAAAGAAAGTGTATTAAGTTTCTAGTAGGATGTTAGATATTCAAAATCAGTAGTTGATTGTAGGTTAAATGTCTGTACCCTCCTAGTGGCTCATTGATTCTCAACAGGTGAACCTCACCCACATAGGAAGGTTGAAAGAAACAGGGTTTTGATTTTAAGAAGACCTCTGTTGAAATTTTGGCTCCACTAGCTGTATTACAAAATAAAAATAAAAAGGTTACTTCGACCTCTCCCAAGCCTCAGTTTTGATTATATTACTTACATGAGAAATGTGATAGTACTTGAACAGAGCTTAACCCACTAACACACACTGAGTCAGATCAATATGATATTGGTTCCCATTTTCTCTTTCTCTTTACCCACCTAAAAATATGAGAAACCAAATACCTGGGCAATGTAAATGCACACCTCTTAATTGCCAGGTGGTCCCCTTTCTTACTTCTTCCCGTGGGTTATTCTCAGGTGAATGCTCAACTAGAGAACACCTTCTTGGATAGGTAAGGGCGTATGAGCATCCGTCGTCAAGGCTTACTAGCAAATCGTTATTCGGTCAATAAGGGAAAATTTACTTTTTATGCCCTTGGCCAACCCATCCTTTTAAAATGGTACTGAATTTTTTTTCTTTTACCTAACAGTTTAGTCAGAAGGGGTCAGGGTTTTAGAATAATCTAATTGGAAGATTATCTGATTTGAGGGGCCCTCTTTAAAGAGAAGAATGTAAATTACAAACCCAAACTAGATACCTGGCCTAAGAAGGGACTTGTTCAAGTGAGGGTCTATGAAACCTAAACTTTTTAGCTTCCTGACAAATCCACCCCTAGCTCAGCATTTCTCCTCTGTTGTGCCCGCTTCTGGGAAGGATTCTGAAGAATGAATGCTGTGCTCATATCCACTGAGCACAGCGGACAGCACTGAGGAATAATGTGGGCCAAAGGTCCAGCTGGACCCTGGCACCATTTTGGGTCCTCCTTTAAAACCACCTGAATACTAGGAGAGAACATGTTCAAAGAGAGCTGCTGAGCAGCCAAAATAAAGGTGACTTCGTCACACACTCAATGTTTTAATTGTATACTGTATTAGATGTTAAAATGGAGACAATAAAGCTTAACATTTCCTGGTCACATAGCATAGTGTTGTATTTGACTTACAAAGAAAAAAGGACTAATATTTGTTCAGAGCCCATTATGTGCCAAGCATGTGTAAATAGATTAGCACCTTTAGGCCTCATAACCGTACCTCAAGGTTGGCATTCTTATAACCAGAGCTTAATCTATTAGAGCAAATGGAGAAAAGATTTTGATTTATGTCTGTTTATTATAAAACCAAAGGTCAATTATATCCTTTGTTAAGTGACAGCATAATCTTTGCATTGGTTAAACAAACATGTTTCCTCTCCCTCGTGAGGCAAATCTGAGCTTTTCCTCTTGTTTTAACTTTTTGGCGGGGGCGGGGGGGGGGCAGGGAGGAGGGCAGGGCAACTCATTTGTTCCTTTAAAACAGTATCAAAACTTTTTCTGACAGGAAGTTTGTTCTAATAAGTTAAACTTGTCAATGTCAGCTCATTTGCCTCAAAATTTCACCTACAATTTTCACTGTCATTTTATATCTGTGTGTAATATTGTTTCACTGCGTTCTCAAATCTTCTGAGATAAATTTACCTTTTCATTTAAATCACAAGATGGCAATTTATAGTCTCTCTGAACAGTCTTATTTCTAAAATAATATTCTGAATATGGCAGGCAACTAAAATATTGTTCATCCAATAATATTCTGCACAGGAGGTGATAAAATTCTAAGCTCTGCCAATACTACTAACCTTGTACATTGTGGGATGTACAAGGTTAGTAGTATGTTCACTATATTAGTTTGAATACTTTACACATGTAAAAGGCAATGATTTAATCATGAAACAATGATTTCATAATTTACCAACTGTTAAATACACAGCACTTCTTTTAATACTACTGTGACTATATCTTGATTATATGTGAATATTTTATAAAAATTCTAAGAGAGAAACAAATTGACAGAAGTTAATGTGCAACAGGAGCCATTATTTTTCAAGTTTGCTAAGCGAGTTGTAATTTTGTACTCCTAACACCCAGGGGATAATACATTTCATATGATAAATGAGTTCCTTGTATATTTTGTTAAAGATCACACTTTGACAATGCCATCTTTATTTTTAAAACACAGAGCCTTAAAATGAAGGCTTAAATTATGTTTACATAAATTTCATTTTATTTCTCAATGGAGTTGTTTTATTATAGCTTCAAATCATTCATTGAGTTAGCTCTGCTAAAACAAAAAATGAACCACCCAAGTGGCTATAATTTAGAATCAAAATTTTGCTTTTACTTAAGAGAAGGAAATAGTAGGATAGACAAGTTGTTCCTAATTCATTAGTTTAAACTGACTACTCATAAACCACAAATGCCTTTGTTTTGTTACTGCTTACAGAGTTTCTTTGCCCATCTATAACAAGTAAGACGGCTGATACTTGAGTTGAATATTTAATCGCTAAATGTTGCTTATACCTCTTTATACCATAAGTCATGAAGTGAACATTCAGAATATGCTAGACATTTCTTTAATAAGAGTTTTTGATGTTAAGTTGACATTGTAGTAGACAGGAATAACAATATGAACCGTTTTTGAGCTTATGCTACTCTTCATAGGATGTATCAACACCTGTAATAAGAGATTACTCAAAATCATATATATTTTAGTATCTATGCTCTTTATGTTGTTTACATTTAGTTTAAGAAAACGTCCACATATTTCTAAAAATAGAACTAGAATTAAGCCTTCTGTTTTTATACAGATTCTTCTTAATTATATGGTGAAAGAAAAAGAATAAATGAACTGCTAAATATCTACCCCAATTTAAAATTAAATCAGTACATATCTGCCCACAAGAATTTATCTCCTTCACCAAGAAATGCGAGCTTATTTTATTCTTTAAGCAGGAAATCATAGCTAAATTAACTGTTATATATTATTGTCACCAAAAAATAATTTATTCTGTAG